GAACGTTCGTGGTTTGTACTCACTTCCATGTCGCACGCGAAGAATTGCTAAGTAGAAGTTGTGTGTTGACGATCGTCATGAAATTAGTTGCGTGTGATTTTTCAACTAATTTCATGACGATCACCAACACACAACTCCTACTTAATAATTCGCGCGCGACACGGAAGTGAGTACAAACGGCTGGCAAACAAAGATATATTGAAACTTTGGAAGCTGCTACTGCTGCAGAAGAGGTGTTATATGGACCTGGAATAGATGACACTATGTAAGTAAAACCCAAATTTTTTAAAATACATTTTCTCTGGTTTTAAACTTTAAACGCGTTTTTCTCAAAACTATATTTTCAAAGTCGGTGAGCAAGATATCTCAAAAACTAATGAATCGATCTCCCTAATTTTTTTTTTTACTTACTTTGGACATGAATATCTCGTAATTAATCGAAGGGTTTATATTTTAAATGCGTAGTTTTTTTTTTATTAATGAAAAAAGAACAATTTTTAAGGTAAAAATCGAAAACTTTTCTTTAATGATCCGCCATTTTGTTTCTAATCAATATTTTCAAAAACCGAACGATTAATTACTAGCTTATACAATATACTAATGAAATTTTTTTGGATTTTTGATTTCAGATGAGTTCCTGCCGAGATATGTTGCTTACCGCAAAACTATTTTTTTTTAAATACGTCTCTGTAGACCGGCGCAGATTCTAAATTATTAAATATTTTTGTACAAAAAAATTTTGAAATATACTTTAAATATAACTTCATTGGATGTACAAACTGAAACATATATATATAGTTTCATTTTGTTTAAAAAAAATCCTTAATAAATCGCTTTTTTCAGCCCTCTAAATGTATATAACCCCTTAATTAACTAGTCTTTAAAAATTCTATCTCTAAAGATCTAAGAGGTACCATCCTTATACACTTATTTAATTCTAATGACATGTATCTTTTGTATGTATATATAAACTTATCTTTTTAAAAAAAAGGTAGAAAAAAGCGTTAAGAGTGGGTGCTGCTGGTCAAAAAACCATTTGGGCCAGTTTCACCAACGTAAATTACTTAATCGACTGTGAACTGACCAATCACATTTGCTGTTTAGTAGAACCATCTTTAAAAACCTACGTGATATTATCCTTATTTACTTAATTCTAATGACATGTATCATTTGTATAAAAGACTTGATATCAATAGTCGGCGCCAAGTTAAATTCTAATCTTTAAAAACCTACGTGGTATTATCCTTATTATTTACTTAAATCAATGACATGTATCATTCGTATAAAAGATTTGATATCAATAGTCGGCGCCAAGTTATTCTACCTTATTACTTACTTAATTTTAATGACATTTATCATTTGTATACAAGATTTGATATCAACAGTCGGCGCAAAGTTAAATTCTATCAAATTAAAAGGTAAAACACAATTGGTACCTTTAATCTTTAAGAACCCATATAGTACTATTATTTAAATTCTACTAAATTAAAAAGTATTATAAAACCCATGTGGTACTATCTTTATTTTCATACAATGAAACCTAAGTATATGCCTTTGTATTCTTGTTAAAAGATCTTCCTATTCGAAACCAAGTGATTTAATTCTTCTTTAAAAAAATTATATCACAATTAATTTAAAAACAAAATGAAAAAGATTTATTTAAGTAGAAAAATTTTTTATGTGAAAACACTTTACTCACCCACTTTAATCCAGCACCCTGAATAGTGAGAGGCGAGGGGACTCACATTAATCCAGCACCCCGAATAGTGAGAGGCGAGGGGATTCACATTAATCCAGCACCCCGAATAGTGTGAGGCGAGGGGACTCACTTTAATCCAGCAGCCCAAAGGAAACAGTACTTACTACGTCCACGTCGTTGTTTTTGGGTAGCGCTAAAAGTAAGGTTAATACAGTTAAAGAAACCCTCGAAAATAGTGATTCCCATTTCGAAAAATCACTATAACCTTGAAATAACCTTGAAAATCGAGTTCAAGATCAAGATCAGAATACAGATAGGTGACCCCCTCGGCCCCCTTTAACATTTGTCTGGTTCCGGTATATTCAATTGGGAAATCAAAATTCGCAAACTTGACCTTCATTCGACCTTGCCATGACCTTGATAAAAATATCATTTTGAACGTAAAATTTCCCGCTCTTTTCAAATCCGGGGTCAAAAATAGGTATTCCCATTTACAAAAATCACTTTGACCTTGAAATAACCTTGAAAATCGAGTTCAAGGTTCTTGGTACCATTAGGTGACCCCCTCTGTCCCCTTCTACTTTTGTCTGGACCCTTTTTCTCTATATGGCTTAGATTACGAGAAATTCAGGTGGGGAGATTAAAATGGCCCACCCTGTATACATACAAAAGATACATGTCATTAGAATTAAATAAGTGTATAAGAATGGTACCTCTTAGATCTTTAGAGATAGAATTTTTAAAGACTAGTTTATTAAACGATATATTTTATGGGAAAAATCCATATTATATGACAAGATAGTTAAATAAAAGAAGGGAGGATGTGCAATGTATCGAAGTTAATATAAATAGTATATTTATAAAGATATTTTAATATCAGTTACTTTTGCGATAATATATTATGTTAAAGTACATATGTATCAAAAATATATATAAAAAATGATTTAAAGAATGATTTAAAAATATATTGTACATATATGAAGGAGAGTGAAAATGATGAGTAGTTGGGCGAGTCGAGGAGAAAGAAGGGGGAGGAAATGCAGTGAGTCGAAGTTTTAATGGTTATGGTTGGATATCACTCTGTTTTATATAATTTAAAGTCAAATTGTTAATATATTAATATACACAATATGGTCCTACATTATAGTTCACTTTGGAAGTTGGAGGTAATAGAATTAGTTTTTTGGACATTGAATTGATCAATCATAATAATATTTTAGAATTTGATGTATATAAAAAACCTACTTCATCGGGAAGATTCCTAAATTTCTTATTTTCACATGCTTTATCACAAAAAAAGGAATAATTATTGGAATGATAGATAGTATATTTTTACTTTCACATCCTAAGTACCACCAGAAAAATTTTATAAATTTAATAGACGTTTTAATCAACAATTACTACCTATTAGATTTTATTTTTGACACCATCAACTATAGATTGGATATTTTAATAAAAAAACGAAATTGTGTTAAAGATAATAGTGACAATTCATCTCCAAAACAGATGTGGTTTGTAATTCCTTATATTCCGTCAATCTCGGAGGGTTTCAAGAGAGTTGATAAGGTGTTCAACGCAAAATTAGCTTTTATTAGTTTGAATAAAATGAGTAAATTTATTAAGGTATAAAAGAATAGGTTACCTAAAAAAAAAAGAAAAATGTAATTTATAAAATATCATACGATTCCTGTGAAGCTACATACGTTGGACAAACAGGACGTAAACTAAAAATGAGAATTACAGAGCATAAGAATCACATAAACCATAATACTAACACTCAATCAGTGATTACAGAACACAGATTGAAATATGGACACAATTTCAAATGGGATGATATGAAAGTTTTAGATTCAGAAAGATTTTTAAACAGACGTTTAGTCTCAGAATGCATACACATTCATTTCAGGATAAGGGCTTAAACATGGTGTAATAAGAAAGGTGAAACAACATCATGGATGCGCAGTAGTCCATTGTCTCGACCAATAAGAATCGGGTCCAAATGTTCAAAAGCAATATGGTTGCCCCTTGTTTGATTTGAAGTTTGAATTAGCTGTAAAGTATAAACCGTAATAAATCATAATATAATATTGTAAAATTAAAGAAAAAATTAAGTCTCGATAATATAATATTGGAAAATTCATTATGCCAGCGTGTTATATTATCAATTGTATTAGCCACACTAGTGGCCTAAATTTCATTGGCTCCACTCATCGTGCCGCCATTACTATGCGCAATGTTTCACCATTCTTATTACACCATGGGCTTAAACAAACGCAATGACACAGAAGGTTTACATTAAAATTATAAATTGATGTTAAATAAAATTAAGGATAATAATTGTTTTAATTGTTGATTCCCTTTTTGAATACGAAATTGTCTTAGATTGCCAAAAAAAATTGTTTATATATATATTAGGGTGTATCGAATTTTCGAAAATTTTACGGAGTAGCGATAAAACGATAGTTCAGTATTCACTATTCACGAAAATTGATACAAAAAAAATTAAAAAAGATATCTAGCATTCGCGCACGCGCCTCCAATACAGCGTTTTTTGACATTTTTTTTATTCATCTCTCCATAACTTAGTCATTTTTCAACTTTTCTTTTTTTTTTTTTTTTTAATTTGTGCCCAGAGTATGTACCTTCCAAACCCATATCACAAAAAATTTTTTGAAATATTCCTGAGCCCTTGAAAAATCACTAAATATGACCGCGTTTTATCAAATTAATGATTAATAGCACAGACCTGCGAAATTTCACTTTTGTCAGTTGCAAGAATGGGTAGGGGTGATTTTAATAGATTTTTTTGCGCTAAAAACGATGGCACTAGGAAAATTCCCCTATCACGTCCCATTTTTCGAGAAAATGAGGTTAAATGTGTCAAAATGTGCGTTTTTAGCCATAGCTCGATTATTTTTGTAGCAAAAGAGAATTTGCCTTTGACAATCGCAATATCATTTCCGAACGGATTTTTCGTGCTGAAAACGATGGCGCTAGCAGAATTTTCCTATCACGTCGCATTTTCGAGAAAATATATAATTTTTTAATTCATCTCTCCATAACTTAGTCATTTTTTGAAATTTTTCTGAGCCATTGAAAAAAAGCCAAATATGACCACTTTTGATCTAATTAATGTTTAATAACTATGAATTCACCTAGAGGTGCTCGCAAATGGGAATTCGTCTTTTAATATGTTTCTGCGGCATCTCAGATATAATCTAAGCCCAAATAAAAAAAAATTTATCGAACTCTTTTTGAAAAAAATCGATTTTTGTGCCTAATTAATTAATAATAAATATGATCATTTTTGTACCATCATGGTGCGCTTGAAGCAGATTTCACCTATAGGTGCTTGCAAATGGGAATTCGTTTTTTGATGTTTCTGTGGCATCGGTAGTACGTGGAATCGGTAAAAGAAACCTGTAATAATAATCATGTTTTTTGTCTTAAGAATATAACAAAATATCGAAATTCAAGGTGCAGGGAAAAATGGGTTTGTAAACATTTTTTCTTTTGAACTACAAACCCAAAAAATGAGAAATGATTAAATAATATCAATATTAAAATAATATTTATGATGATATGATGTACATTTGAACATAAACATTCGCATTTTAGGTACTCGTAGTAAGAAAATAGTTCTGAGACAGAGGATGCGTTCTTTTTTCCTTCAGTTTAGTATTCAGTAAACCTTATTTTTATAAACCGTAATTTTGATTGGTTCTTGCTGTTACTGAATCGTTGATTTAAATTAATTGGAGTTGGTCAAAAGGGCCTTAATCAAGATTATAATGGTGCGTCCCGATGGAAACGGAATATTTGTGATTGGCTAATGCTCGTTTTCACCGATGTTTCGAGCAATAACCAATCAGAATAATTCTATTCCGCTATTTCTTTCTCCAACGGGATGCTCCCTAAGAATTATATTTTATAAAAAATATTATTTAACAATTATTACATTACCTTTATTTAAAACGTCAATCTTTTGATTCTCTTTGTCTACAGTCTTTTCAGTTATTCTTTCACCTGAAAGAACACAAGTCAAATAACAACAAGTCAAATATAATTTACTTATAAATTTAAACTTCAATTATACCAAGAGGTTTGCGCGTTATAGTCTTGTCTTTCTTCATTATTAATGCCAACGTATCAGCGCACCCCTTGCCCTGACGAAGTGAACGGCACGGTTCACGAAACGTTGACATTAATAATGAAGAAAGACACGGCGATAACCCGCAAACCTTCTGGTATACTTGAAGAAAATACCCATGAAAGCCGTAAAAGCGTAATAAATTTAAACTTTTGGACGTGTGCGCATCAATTACCGCATCATATTTTTACATTTGAATTAGCTAACTTATATTACTTATAAAAGTTATTATAGCAAACACACACAATTTTTCTCAGTCCTAAACGATTATAATATATTAAAATAAATAATATGTATAAAATAAACTATATAAACAATAGTTAATACAATTTTGTAAAACCTTTTCTATTTTATTATTTTTAATTCGTTTTAACTTTACCTTTTTGTACTTCGTCATTAATTTCATCAATTAGTATAATATTATTATCTTTTTCTGTATCATTTTGTAAAATATGAAAAATATCTTCGCTCTTTTCTGAAACATACATAAAACAAAATTCTGTAATAAACATTAAAATTTATAAAATTTATCTATCAAATATTATTTTATTTTGCAGTTATATCATATATCAGATAATAAAAGATGTTTAAACATTCTTTCTTATTTATTCCTCTATATCTATGTATATGTACAGTGCAAAAGTTTCTGGTCAGTCACATTTCGTATTCTAATTTATAAAAAAAAATCTGATAAAATTTTAATTATAATCGAGTGTTAGTATAATATGTGGGTAACGAATCTTGTACTAACATTGGATAATGATTAAAATTTTATCAGGTTCTTTTTTAAATTATAAAATGTTACTGGCCTGAAACCTTTGCACACCACTGTATATATATTTATTAATATATTTTTCGAAACTATTTACCATCAATTTCACTTTCTGTCATATTTGATGTAAAAATAACAGGAGCTGTTGTCATGAGATGTGGTGCTATTGTGGCTATATCGGGATCAATATTTATCTCTGGAGGTGGTGGACCACCACTAGTTGCAAAACGAGCCTGTTTTTCTTTGGTTAACAATTCTCTCTGAGTCTGTTTTAAGTTAGTCCACAACTTTTTCAATTGTTGTAATGTACGCTATAACAGGAAAAAGATTTTTATTACTGTTAAATATGTGCACAATTCGAACTAACCTCTTTTTAATATTTACCTCTTGCGAAATCATTGAGGCTTCGTTGTAATTGCTTGCATATCTCATTCCACGCAATTTCTTTATCATGAAGAGTTGATGAATCGCTCTTCTTTACTTCAATAATATGTTTGAAATCTTTTAAAATTTCAAGGAAAATTTTCTTCTCTAACATTGTATAATGTTTATTTTTAGACATTTTTTAAATGTTAGTAGTATAATAGAAAGAAATTAGTCGAATGAGGCTGGATCCTCATACAGGCGCCAGCGCTTTAGCGCCAGCGCTCAAACGCTGTTTCAAAAGTTGAACAATAGCCAATAAGAGCTGTCCAATTGAGAAAAATGGTAACGATATTTCTTGTCCAATTTTATAAATAAACTTTTAAATTATAAACTATCTTTATATTTCTATTTTATATTTCTTTGTATCAAATTATGTGCAAATCTATTTCATTTTATATGTTTTTCACAAAATTAAAAAAATTCAATCTTTAGCAGCTACATCCATTGTCTAGTGACATTCCGATAACAACACGGCGCCCAAAGTTCGACCGAGTCGAACTTTTTCAATCAGCGCTTGAACACATATGTGCCGATGTGCGTCGCGTATACACAATCACAAATGAAGAAAAAAAATGGCTAACCTTCAAGTAAGTGTACTTCAGCAAATATTTTTCGATAAAATTCCGCAATATATTATGAAAATATAAATGTGTATATTATAAATGATCTTTAATTATATCCCAAAATATTTAATTATATTATCCATTTTAGAGAGAGATCTAGTTGAAGACTTACTTCAAGTATAGACAATTGAAAGAATTAAAACAATTATAACAATATAATTGTTTTAATTTTTTAATAGTCTATACTTTAAGTAAGCCTTCAACAAGATTTCTCTAAAATGGCCGGATAATATAATTGAATACCTTTGGATATAATTAAACATGAAAAACTATTACATGTAAAAAAATTTAATTTCTTTTTGTTTAAAGATACTCGAATTAATCCTATTACATTTTCAATTTGCTTATAAGTAATGTTCGCATGAATATATATTACTGTTATACTTTATACTTATACTTTATCAGGATCACTTGGTACAGTAAAAAATTAGTGGGTCGACAAATAGGGACCATTGTTCCTATATTTGTTCCTATTAGTTGTTAAATGCAAGAGAACCAAAGATTGTAAATGATCCACAAATTTGGGATAAATATGTTGGAGAAAGTGAAGCCAACATTAGAAGATTGTTTGCTGATACAGAGGAGGGAGATTATAAAAACGTAGTACATTTATATACATATACTGCTGTGATACATAATGTAACTACATACGTATACTTATATGACTTAATGTTTACTTATTTTAAAGATTTAAGCAACGTTTATTTTTCTCAACATGTTCGTTTTTTTTACCTTGAATGTAATTGTTTAGTACAATATTTGTTTATTTAAGAGTTTGTAATTTGGCTTTTAATGTAACTATACGTACGTATATTTATATGATTTAATGTTTACTTATTGTAAAGATTTAAGCAACGATTATTTTCCTCAACATGTTTGTTTTTTTACATTGAATGTAATTGTTTAGTACAATATTTGTTTATTTAACAGTTTGTAATTTGGCTTTTAATGTAACTATACGTACGTATATTTATATGATTTAATGTTTACTTATTGTAAAGATTTAAGCAATGCTTTAAACTTGTCGAGTCACCACAGTCACAATGGTCCACGGTCTACAAGAAAGAAATTCGACTATATTTACGATAGTGCATACATTTTGGCGCTTAAGCGCCAAAAAATCGTGAAAAACTCAATCCTCATGACAGCGCTGGTGCTTTCTTGCTATCTATCCCCTCCACCCGTTTTTCGCAAATTTACACCAATCAGCGTTTGGCGCTAAAGCGCTGGCGCCTGTATGAGGATCCCGCCTGGGGGTCAATCACGTACTTTTTCCCCTAGGGCGGAAATGTGAAAAGTGAAAATTTTTTGCATATATGTGTGTATATGTTCATACATACAATCATAAAAGTTTTCACGTTTCCGCCCTAGAGAAAAAGTTACGTGATTGACCCCCTGAGCCTACAATTTCAATCAAAATTGGAAAAGAGGGAAATGTTCTAAATAAATACCGAAGTAATTATTTCCCTGTAACAACAAACGAGTCACCTCAACAAATTGTTCTTTGCGAATTGCGATCATGCTACAGTTATACTTTGATTTAAAAGAAATAATCGTTTTCATTGGTTAATTTAACAGAAATAATACGGAAATAGCCGAATACTCAATAAGTATTATCTTGAGCATACCTTCGCGAAGACAATCTCGGATAGAATAAGAATTCCTTAAATAAGAACTCCTTCGCCAAGATTATCTTATTTCATGTCTATGAATTATATTCGTCTTGAGATGATCTTTATTGAATAAGACGATCTTCGTCAAGATGGTCTTAGGTGTCGCCTTAAGCTTCGACTATGAATACGGGCCATAGTCCGAGCTCAAATCAGTACTTAAGAATGTCTTGATGAAGATCGTCTTATTCAATTAAGATCGCCTCAAGAACGATATATTTCATAGTGATGAGACAAGCTGTCTTCGCGAAGAAGTTTTTATCTAAGTAATTCTTATTTGATTCAAGATCGACTTAAAAGATATACTTAAGATCGTGCTTATTTGTGAATCGGCTATTTCCGTGATATTTCGATTAGTTCCTCCAATTGGAATATTGCATTTTAAAAAGAAAGCATATTCAAGACCGTCTTAAGCATAGTCCATGAAGGAAGATATAAGGAGACTCCACTCAGTCTCGCCAGTCTACAAAACATGGACCCATT